TGAAACTGTTGTTTCCTTTGGGACTACCTCTAAGAGATAATGCGGCGTCATCAGTGTCATCTCAAAAAGGTAACTTTTTAAACCTGCCTTGAATATCTTAGTGAATTTGACAATTTTCTCAATGAACATTTGAAAAATTATCAGTATTGTGGCTTAGTGAAGATCAACTTTTTAATCCACCACAGCTACATGAATTCATTACTATAATGGCAGAGCAGCTCAGAAGCCAATTCACTGATGAAGTGAAGGACGCCAAGTACTATTTAATAATAGTTGATCCAACACCAAATGTGAGTCATGTAGATCAATCAACATTCAATTTTAAGATATGTGACTGGCAATAGTGAAGTTGTAGATTGGTTTCTCTGTCTTGTCACACTAAAATCCCACACTTCTGAATGTCTAGTGATAACGGTTTTGGAAATCATTACAAATTTAAATTTGGACATAAAAAAATTGTCATGGGCAGAACTTTGATAACACTGGCAAAATATATTCAGGTCTGCAGGCAAGATTGAACAATGCAAATCCCTCTTCTTTATTCATACCATGCTTCAGCCATTCCTTAAATTTAATCTGCAATGCTGCAGCCACATCTTGTGATATATATATATTTTTTTACTTTGTTCAAAACATACATGCTTCTTTTGGATTCCACACATCGGTGGAGTATGCTGCAATTACACTTGAAGCAGGCAAATGGAAAACATTTGACAGTCAAAAAAATGTGTGACACCAAGTGTTTTGCTGGGGCAAATGCTGTTTTGGCTTTGAAAATGAGCTATAATGTTATAAAAAGAACCTTATTAGGCATAGCTACATCAAATTCTGAAAAAGCATGTGCAAAAACTGAAGCAAAATCTGTAGCAGAAAAGTTTGAAAAGTATGATATTGCTGTTTTTACTATTTTGTGGAACCATTTACTTCAAAGAATTAAAGTTTTAGATAATCAGATATAAGACAGGATCACAAAGAAAAAACAGTTTCTTGCCATTTCAACCAGAAAGGACATTGTCTCAATGACTTGATTACCTGCATCCTGCTTCAAAGGCCTTTTAAGACTACACTTGAAAGAGAATCCTCTGAACTGTCATTCATGCTTAAATTCGACACTTTACACTTAAGTTTGAATAAAGACTTTAATTATCTTACCCATTACAAAGATAGCTTCCCCAGTTAGCACCTCTAATATCATTAGCTCACAGACATTTACCTCCCCCCCATCCCCTTTCTGTTCTGAAATTTGATTTGTCCTTTTCATATGTGTTCATTTTTTTTAATTGTATCCTTTGGTATATATGATTGTGACAATTTTCTTCCACTATTTGATCTGAGGAAGTGGTTCTGGCCCACGAAAGCTCATCACCTAATAAACCATCTTGTTAGTCTTTAAAGTGCTACATAGTCCTGTTTTTTGTTTGAGGAAAGGTTGTTATGGTTTTTTTAAATAAAGTGCTCTTACCCAAAGCACTTTAAAATAGTTAGCTCATGGTACAAACAATATTTGGAAAGATCATTAAGTGGTCCACTGAAATCGTCAGCAATTCTCAAGTGATCTGTGGAAAAAAAATGTTAGGCTACAAAAACAATCAAGGTACCTCACTTTATTTCCATTTACTTCTTTTTACTTATAATATAGGAGGAGGATAAAGAAAAAAGAATGAAAAATGGAGGGGCAGGAAGAATGAAAGTTCTTTTTCTTGACTGGGTCCTCAGAGAGGCTCCAAAAATGAAGCTGAGCACAGGGCCCCACTAACACTATATTTGCCACTGACCAGAAGTTAATCAAGCGTTTATCCATCAACGTTTAATAGCCTTCTGCACAGCTCCTCCTCCTGCTGCCCCAAACAAGCTATTTTTCCCAACCTTTCTCTCCAGACCCATCCTCCCCCTGCCTGAAGGTTGTGAATTTGTCTTCCTCCAAGTCCTATGTGGAGATGAGCTAAAACCCAAATATATATTTGAAAACCTTAACTTTAGGGTTTCAGTGAAATTGGACTTGGTTCCAATCTCTCTCTCCTTTTGAATTTACAAAACGAAACCACTGCCAGTGCCAATGAGTTTCAGAGGAGTAGCCAGTTTACCAGCTCCCACTGCTCCCAAGAATGAGGCAGGCCAGACAATTCAAGTCCAATACATCAGAAAGTCAGTCTATAGCACTTAGCTGTGTGCTGTACCACTCCCTGCGATTCTGCTTCTGATTAATTGCTGAATCCAGGGCTCCTGCATACGGTGGTCCCTGATCCCCATTATCTTGCTCTAATCTGCACTTCACAGCTATTTCATCTTTGATTCTCTCAGTGAGAGGCAGAAATCCACTATTTAGATAGTAACGTATAAAGCCTTTTTGTAAGAACTCACAAGACTAGAACCTGGGTGAAATTGCAAAGAGCAAAAAATGTAACCGTTTGGCCTCGCATATTTTATATTTTTGCACTATGCTGAAAGTCAGTTTTGGAGGAAGGGGTATGTGTGTTTGCAGTGGGATTGTGCTTCTATTTCTCAGCACAACCAAGAAGACTGGTTTTATTAGCCAAAATAGATGAGATAAAATGGAAGTAAGGTGCCAGTCATTTGTAGCTGGTAATAGCAGCACTTTGCAAGTGTTAATTGATTCATGGTGACATCTCTAGTAATGAGTGTGAATTTTGCAGGGGTAATATCAGCTACAAATGATTTCTTACCAACTCATTCATGAAATCTCTCACAAATGTGTCTGTGCAGCACATAATGAGCCAAGTGACAACTAGTCAGCAATCGGTCAAGGGCACTGCAGTGTCTGGTCCAGATTAGGGATGTTACATATTAGTTAATTGAATAAGTGATTAACTTCATTAATTCTTATTGGTTACTCAACTTTTCTATAAACCCCAGGGGTGGAGCCAGCAGCCAGTGCGCTCCAATCCCACTCCTGAGGAGCCCCCTGCTACTCCGCGCTGCTATCTCTGTATCAGAGGCAGCAGCATGGAGTGACAGATGGGAGCTGGTCCGTGAAGAGAGCCAGTTTAAAAACCAGCTCCCTTGTTGCCCCATGCTGCTGCCTTCCCTTTCAGCTCCTAATACACTTTAAATGCAGAGCCGCAGTAGGGATAGGTCTCAGACCTGGCGCAAGCCAGGACTGAGCCGGGCTGCTGGCCAGCCTGCTAAAAAATTTACTGGCAAGTGGGGAGGGAATGCATGTAATCTACAGCGTTAACTGATAAACTTTTGCTTTTTGGTTAATCCATTAATAAACTTCACTATTACATCCCTAGTCCTGATGGTCAAACAGATTAACTCCTACTGAGCTGCCTGCTCCCTTGGTGCAGATCTGTAGGTGAGAGAACTATAAAAGTGACTGTATGAGGAGAAAGTCTTTGGGACGGATGGTCTCTGCATCCAAAGGCAATAGGACCAATTCTAACCCAAGTTTTCTATTATCTTATGTCAGGGGTGGGCAATAATTTTTGATAGGAGGCCACTCCAAGAATTTGGAAAGTGGTTGAGGGCCGCACTCTTCCATGATATTAATGGAGGAGAAGTGGGGTCTGGGATGGAGGTTGGGTGCAGAAGGGAGCTTGGGGCAAGGGAGGGAGTTTGGGTGAAGGAGGCACTTGTGACCTGGGGCACTGGACTGGGGTGCAGGGGCTTGGATTGTGATCTAGGGCAGTAGGGACTGTGATCTGGGGAAGGAGTGCCAGACCAGGGAGGGTATAGGTGTGCAGGAGGGGGGCAGAGGATTTGGGTATGTGGAGTGAAGGTTGGGGAAGGGTGGTGTTGGGGTGCCAGAGGCAGGCTCTGGACACACTTGACAGCCAGAAGCTGTTCCTGAATCAGCCTCCCTGCCTGCTCGTGTTCCCTCTAAGCTGGGGGCAATACAGCTTCACAGGTGATTAACCAGCCCCGCCCAGTCAGTCAGCTCCATGCACTGAGCCCTGAGCCTCTGACTGGGCAGGACTGATTAATCACCTGTGAAGTTGTGTCCCCCCTGCCTGCCCCTCCCCCACATGGGCTGCAGCCACGTGTTCTGGAGCCCCTTCTGCTTCGTGGCTGCCTGTTAGCGGGTTTCTGGCCAGAAGCCAGTCATTGGGATGGTGCTGGGGGCAGAAGCAGCTCCAAAGCTTCCCCTCCCTTCCGGACTCTCAGGGCTTAAAGCAAAACCGCCCCGCAGCTGCGTTTCTGAGCAGCGTGCGGGTGGGGCTCACCGTAGCGTCCGCAGACCGGATCCAGTGGCTTGGTGGGCTGGATGTGGCCCGCAGGCCATATTTTGCCCAGCCCTGCCTTATACAGTAACTCCTCACTTAATGTCGTCCCAGTGAATGTTGTTTCATTGTTTCATCCCTGATCCATTAGAGAACAGACTTGTTTAAAGTTGCACCATGTTTACTTACACATTGTTTGGCCACTTGCTGGAACCAGGGTGAACCAGCAGCCCCTCCACCATCATCCGCAGTGCCTTCCACCTGTCAGTGCGTGCCACAGATCAGCAACTGCCTACTCCTGCCTGCAGCACTCAGCTGTTTGGCCATTCAGGGGGCTCTGAGGAAGCACGCAGCATGTAACCTCCCGCTCTTTCCCGAAGCCTTCTGAACATCACCAGACACCTGATGATTGCAGGCAGGCAGCCCCGCTCTTTCCCGAAGCCTTCTGAACATCACCAAACACCTGATGACTGCAGGCAGACAGTGCAGCCACCATACTCTAGTTAGTACTGTATACTATGTCGTGTCTGGCACAAAATAGTTTCCTGGAACCTAGCACCCTATTTACATTCATTCTTATGGGAAAAGTGGATTCACTTAACATTATTTCACTAAGTTGCATTTTCCAAGTACAGCACTAAGCAAGGACTTACTATACTTTCTTATTCAACATTGGCCTTGAAGAAAAGATCTGTAGGTATAACATGAAAATGTAAATTAAAATAAATCATGAAATGGCTTGGAAAAAGTGTGCTGTGAATCAAATAATCCCTTTGTCGAACTGAGCATTCACAAGTTTTTCTACCTTGTTTCTCGCAGGTGATATTTTTCTCCCCTCCAATAGCAGCTCATCATACTCCAGGAATGACAGCAGAAGTCGTGTCTCCAGGGAGATGTACATTTTTTCGTCCTACTATCAGCATTCTTCCCCCATAGCAGCCATGTTCATCCTGGCCTATATCTTCATCTTTCTGATGTGCATGATTGGCAATATGCTGGTCGGTGTCATCGTGCTGAAGAATCGGCAGATGCGAACTGTCACCAACATGTTCATTCTCAACCTGGCTATCAGTGACCTGTTGGTAGGCATCTTCTGTATGCCGACTACCTTAGTGGATAACCTAATCACAGGTGAGCAAGGGAATGAACAGTGACCCAGATCACAAAAGAAGGAAAGAAGTGGCTTAAGACCTATGAGTTCCCAGAGTTGGGAGAACTGGAGAGGGAACCTGTTTGAGATTGCTGAGCTTTCTTTGTCTGAGGCTAAAGTGAGTAAGCCCAGTGGAAAGGGAAATAATGTAGAACAGTGGCACAGCTATTTCCTAGTAAAGGGTTCTCAGATTTCATTGCACCACAACCCTCTTCTGACAACAAAAAATAATACACTACCCCAAGGGTGGGGGACTGAAACCTAAGCCCACCCAAATTCCACTGATGGATGCAGCCCAAAGCCCAAGTTCAAGGGCTTCATCCCTTGGGGGGGGAAGGCCTGTAACTTGAGACTTGCCACCCAAGGCTGAAGCTCTCGAGCTTCGGGTTTAGTTTCAGCACTGCGTGGTGGAGCTTTGGCTTCAGCTCCAGACCCCAGCAAGTCTAACGAGAGTCCTGGTAACCCCATTAAAATAGGGTTGCGACCCACTTTGGGGTCCCAAACCAAAGTTTGAGAACCACTGTCCTTAGGGTTGCCAGCTCTCCTGACCAGATGGCCTGGATGCCATTTGCAGCATGATGTATAGACCATCTGGTCTGGGGAAGCTGGCAACCCCAGCTGTCTTGGGCCTTCAGGCAAATTTTTACCCATTGCCACCATTCCACTCTTACAGCAGAATGTCTTGATCTTTGGCCTGGATGTCCCTTTTCTAGGAACTGAGAGAAAAGCAGGGTCTCTGGGTATGTCTATACTGCATTCCTCTTTTGAGAGAGGAATGCAAATGCAGCCGAGAGAAATTGCAAATGAAGCATGGATTTAAATTTCCTGTGCTTCATTTGCATAATCACATCCGTCTGCTATTTCAAGATAAAAAATGCTGTGTAGAGGCGGTTATTTTGAAAGAAACTCCTTCTTTCGAAATAACTGGAGTAAGGGTTATTTCGAAAGAAGGGGTTTCTTTCAAAATAATCGCGTCTACACGGCATTTTTTATCTTGAAATACGGTATTTCGAAATAGTGGCCAGGCGCGATTATGCAAATGAAGTGTGGGAAATTCAAATCCGCACTTCATTTGTAATTTCACTTGGTTGCATTTGCATTCCTCTCTTGAAAGAGAAATGCAGTGTAGACATACCCTCTGTGAATAGTATTAAATAAGATCTGGTGGAAATATTGTAAACAAAAGTGAACTTCAATAGAGGCAGAGAGGAACATCTCTGGTTATGATTTGCACATTGACTGAGGTGATTTTGTTTCTTAGGGTGAAGGGACCAGCAATTCTCTAAACTGATATTCTCTCTTGAGTCCCATTGCACAGACTGTATAAACAGCAGCAGAGTAAGAATCCCCAGGCTCTTCCTGCTCATTCCTTGCCAAATCTACATCAGTCCAGTGAAGACATACATGCCCCAACATCTGAGCACTGTACTGGATACATTCATAAATTGGTCATTGAAGGGTGGCATGTAAAAAACAGCCCAAAGGTCTGTTTTTACAGAGCTGACTCACAATAGCTGCCTGTGCAACTATTTCCACTGCTCCAGCTCACCTGTGTCTCTTCTCTCTTCTCTTCCCACCATTCCCACACCATTCCTGCACTGTGCTTAGCCTCTTGGTGCAGCTCGCTATATGATAGCTGATTCTTTCATGAAAACGAAAGATTTAAATGGAAAGCCTGGATACCAATTTCAGTACTGCCAGCCCCATGCATTCAAAAGTAATGTCAGGCCCCAAAACATTACAAAATGGGCTTAAAAATCATGCAACTTTTTTTAAACTGGGTTATTGTATTTGCTTTCTAGTTTTTAAGCTTTTGTGTTACATTACAGTCATGTGTTCAAGTTCTTCTCTGTAACCATGAGGACTAGAAATTAATTTTAAAAAATCCCTGAGATGCTCATGTAGTATATAAATCTAGAAGCTGCGGCTTTAATGAAAGCATCAAATAATACAAGACTTGGCAACACTGCAGTGCTTCCTGACATATTAAGCAGGTGAAAGTAAGCAGGTGCACCCTGGTGTGCAGCTCTGGCAAGAGCTGACTGAGCTGCAAGCAAAAGCCAGCAGGGAGCTATTTAAAAAGCTGGCAGGGACTTGAGTAGCAATAGGACAGTACCTGTAAGAAATTGTAAGTTGCTTTCACTGCTGCATATTCCTTATATTTCTTTTGAACAATTTGAAGACAGAAGTCCCTTCCCACATTCTACACTTTGACATTAGAGGGAACCAAGCCAGCAATACAGAAGCTCTGTGCAACATCTGTTTCCTACACAACAAGGCTGAGCTATACCAACTCTTAAAGAGACAAAACGGCTGGAACTTCTAGGGCTGACATCAGTGGCAAAGGTGGGGGGATACTGAGGGAGTTGGAGGGAGGAGTCTGTATTTTCTTTCCTTTGTTTTTTATTTCACAGCTGATCATTTCTGGCTGAATTATATATTGTTAGCTTTTAGGAGCATGGTAAAGTAGGCAACTCTGGTTGGAAAGGATGCCATAAAGATTTATTGAACCCAGAATATCCTAGGCAAGAGTCAGCAGCATTACGCAGTGGAATTTTTAAATGCTATGAAGATCCAATGAGAGATCCAGTTTTTCTCTCTTTGAGTCCCTTTCTTCCCATACTTACTCCAACAGCTCTCAACCACATCCAGAACATGCCAGTTTTTTTCTAATCCCATTATCATTTGCAGATCACTTAACACAAGATGCCTCAGAACAATGCCAGGAGAGTGATGGTGGGGAGAATTTTCCACGAGGGGCCAATAAAACATCATGTTGGATTTCTTGAAACTGGGGCTTCAGATATTAGCGATTCAGATCCTCTGCTTGGCAGTCTCCCTGCCTTTGGCAGTATTTCCTTTCTCACCCCTCAAAGACTGGAAAGGTTTCCTTGACAATGTAAATGTGTGAAATTATATCAGAACTGGAATAGCGCAGCTGCACAGGTCCAGAAGTTGATGGTGTTTGTCCAGTTTGGAGGGGCAAATAACCAAATAATAGAATAGCAGCCATATTTGGCACCCATTGGTACCCTTATGGTAATCTTAGCAGAGATCAAAGACTGACTAGGCCTGAAGAAGCAACTCAAAGTCCCTCAGGATTAGGGAGGAGGTATATGGAGGAAATTAGTTGTCACTGTCACTGACATGCAACCTGTTTTGTGAGTAAATACCAGATAACAATCTCCACCTTTTCAGCTACTAAATTCACAGAAACAAAAGGGGAGAAATAGCTGTATTTAATACAAAAGAGAAGCCATCTACTCATGAATTGGCACACTGTAATCATGAGCACCAAGTGCCTTTAAAAAAACAAATACCAGACAGCCTGATTGACAGAACACATTTATTAGCACAGCATTTAATTCCTAAAAGCTGATGTGCTTTCTTTCTCTTTGATCCTTTTTTCTATTGTTGGCTGTAGCCTGGAGTGTAGATTTGACTGGCTGCATTTCTCTGCAGAAAATAGATTTCAGTAGACAGAAGAAAGCAGCAATTTGCTTTTCTTCTCTTCCCCATCATCACAAACATTTCTGAAGGGCAAAATATATGATAAGATATCTGAAATAAGCATGACAGGAGGCTGTGGTGTTTTTAATCTCTCTTGTTACAACAACCCTCTTCCACTGGAGCTCTTATCATGCACCAATGGGGGAAAAAAAGTATTTGAATTAATTTGAAGAATTTGTTGGTGCTGTTGTTTAATTTTGTGTATTCAAAACTCAGTGCAACCAGCTGTTTTTTCCCTCCATCTACTTAAATATGAGCCTTTCATGCTAGAGTCACTGATTTCATGCTAGAGTCACTGATTAAAAACAGCTTTATATAACTGCATTCTTCTAACCACAAAAAAAAAAAATGAGTAGCAAAAAGATCATATCAAATTAATAAGTTACATGCTCTAGCTTTAGTAGAGATGATTTTGTATAGACATTCAACT